GCTCGATCGAGCTGTCGGTCGAGCTGGCTTCTTTTCACCTAAACTTAACTTCCTGAAAGGTTAAAGACACAAAATACTAGATAGAAATTTATAGAAAGACTATGTACAAGGATAGTCATGGGACTTCCTCCCAAGTGAGCTTGTTTTAGGTCCCATAGCTTGACCTTTACCTTTTAGGCATTGGTTGAGCTAGTCCCACCATCAAGAGTGATAGTGAGGACTTGAGACAGAAGCTTCTTTAGCTTGGTTGGATCCCTGGATTGCTCTGAAGTGACCAAGGCCTTGGCTCTAGAGAATGGTCTTGATCTCCCTTTGTACCTTATCTTGTACTCAATCTTTCCATTTTCAAACTTTGGTGGGGAACAAGGTCATAGTGAGCTGAGATGACTTGGTTGAGGAAACCTGAGCTGGTGGGTCCTTTCTTTTCTCTCCCACAAGTGCCTTTGAGGCTGCATCCTCCCCTTCCTTTTGAGCGCTTCCTAGTGGCTCATCAAACAAAGCTTGGAGGCTTTCCTCATCTAGGACACAAGACGCATGCACAAGGCGATCAGCTCTTGGTTTATCAGATCATGGTCTCTCAACTCTTGGCCTCTCAAGGCGTGGTTTCTCAATCCTTGGTCCCTTATCAACTCTTTGATCCTTCTCCACCTTATCTTTCTCAACCTTATCCCTCACAACTCTTGGCTCTTTGTCAACCTTTTCCTTCACAACCTTGGCAACTTCAGGAGTCTTGGAACTGAGAGGAATGCTTTCAATGGTGCCACAATAGTCTGATCTTCTAGGCTACAAGCGATAAGACACCAAACTATTCACCTTGTGGAGGATCACTTCTTGCTTGTGAAAATCTATTGAAGCGCCAACTGTGCTAAGGAATGGGGTTCCCAATAGCAAAGGTACATCCCTCTCTTCTTCCATCTCCAAGATAGTGAGATCAGTTTGGATGATGCATTCTCATATTTTCAAGTGATAGTTTTTGAACACACCAAGAGGAGACTTGGAAGTTGCATCTCCAAACATGATTGAAGTAGTGGGCGCTGCAATGCTCCAGCAATGCCAAGCTTCTCTGCCATTGTGAGGGAGATCAGGTTGATGCTTGCACCAGAATCCACCAAGGCATTGTCAAGCTCAATATGCCCAAGTGTGCAAGGGAGAGTGAACTTCCCTTGATCCTTCACCTTTGGTAAGAAAGTAGGTGAGGTAGGCAGGTTGATTTGGTGTAGACACCTCCATAACATCTTAATCATCTTCATTTGCTCAAATGCCTCACTCATGCTTTCCATAGAAGGCAACTCAACTCCAATCTCACTGAGGTCTCTTCTGAACTTGTGAATCGCACTTCCTTATGGCCTTGACTGAGTAGGCCGACTTGATGGGTCAACTGGCTGGTAAGGATCAAGCAAAGTCGGTTTGAGGACTGATGTTTTCTGACGTCGACTCGATCGAGCTAGAGTTCGACTCGATCGAGCTGCCGATCGAGCTTGTTGTGCGAGCTCAACTGGTGAAGTGTGAATGGCTATGAGTAGCTTGCACTTCAGGTTGATCAATCTGGACTCCAGGAGCCTCAGCAGCAACAATCTCTTCATTCAGCAGTAAACAAAACTCTTCCATGACTCTTTCTTGATCCTCTTCTTCATCAAGTCCTTCTTGAGTGAAGATGACCTTGCACTGTTCCTTGGGGTTCTGAATAGCTTTACCAGGTAGTTGTCCTTGCTTTGTAGCAGCAGCAACAGAAGAAGCATGATTCTCCAGAGAGTACACTCTTGTGTTGAGGTTCTCGATCTTGGAGTTGTTATCAGCTAGCTTCTTGCTTGTGTCCACAACACCATCAGCTTGACCTTGAAGCAATTGTTTCAGCATAGCCTTGAGCTCATCTCAGGTGTAGGTGCAGGCTGGGGTGGTTGGTGGGGAAAGCCAGGTGGTATGTGCATTTGCTGACCAGGAAAAGTCCCTTGAGGGCCTTGGTAGTTGTTTTTTGACCATACCCATGTTGTGGGCTTGACTCGATCGAGCTTGCTGTTGTTGAGGATAGACCTGGTCCTGAGGGTTAGCAACATCAGTGTTTCGGTATGACATGGCTGGGTTGGACTTGTAATTAATAGTATCCTTTGTTAAGCCTCCTTGCCCATTGCTCATGTAACACACTTCAGCAAATTGTGTATCCTCCCCTTCTTGGACTGGTTCCATCTCTTCAGCAGACACAAAATTGACTTTCTTCATTGTGGACTGAGCTAAGATAAGCTTATCCAACTTCTCATTCAACGATTTGACATCTTTTCTCAATTTCTCATCGACTCGATCGAGTGGTGGGTCGAGCTCCGTTGGTGCGATCATACTCTTCTCCATAGCTTCCATTGGAGTTTGCTATGTTCTCCACAAGCTGCCAGCCATCATCTACATCCTGATTGAGGAAGTTCCCATTGCTGGCTGTGTCAACATCTCTATACCTTGCCAAGCAACCTCTATAGAGAGTAGAGAGCAATGACTCATTGTTGAATCCATGATGTGGGCACTGACTTGTGTAGCCCTTGAACCTCTCCCAAGCCTCAGCAAAAGTCTCATTGTTCCTCTGATGAAGCTGATATCTCACTCCTTAGCTTGGCTGTGCGACCGGTGGAGAAAAACTTAGCAAGAAAGGCCTTCTTGCATTCATCCCAAGTGGTGATTGTGCCATGGGGCAAGCTCTTCTCCCATTGGTGAGCCTTGTCAGCTAGAGACATAGGGAAGAGTCTCAGCTTGATGGCATCTTCAGAGACACCATTGATCTTGTCAAATCACAAACCTATCAAACTCATCAAGGTGATCAATGGGGTCTTCACTTGGCAATCCATGGAACATCTTGTTCTGACAAGGTTGATCATCCCAGCTTGATCTCAAAGTTGTGGTTCTGCACTGGTGGTGGACAATCCCTTGTCTCTGTTGATGGCGGTTTGGAGCATCTCCTAGACCAATCGGTCGAGTTTGCCTAGCTCGACCGAGTCCATTACCCAAAGGGTTTCCATTCCCCTCTGGTACATCCATTGTATCAGTAACAAGCACCTCAGGTTCCTCTTGTACCCTCTGACCTCTGACTTTCTTTCTACCCGTGTGAAATCTAGCTCGACCAAGTCTTCAGTTTTCGACTCGATCGAGTTCGCATACACCTGCAAAAAGAATCAAAAACCCAGCAGTACAAAGAACAGGGGTGGGATAGCTTGATCGTCCAAGTGTATTGAAACTCAAATGCAACAAAATTCAACCCAAATGGCAACGGCGCCAAATTGATGATAGGATTTGTGTGTGTGTGAATGAATGATGAAATGATATGAGGTGGAATGCAAACAGTGGTGAATGAAGATGAGATGGTATGGTGCAATCACAATCAATCAATTCCTCTTAACCATCATAGTCATTGAAGTATAAGAGGTTATCAATCCAAAAGGGTGAAATGTTGCTCTTATGAGAATATGCAAACACAAGAAAGTCAAGCAACAGTAAATAGATGGGAAGTAACTCTAACAACCTAATGAAATGAAATGCAATGCAAAAGTAAAGAAAGCAGTAAAGCAAGCAGCTCGACCAAGGCTCGATCGAGTGGGAACAGAGTAACCAAGCTCGATCGAGTTGAGGGTCGAGTTAGACAGTAAAAAGCGATAAAGGCAGGAACTTTAACAAGCTAATGCGAATATTAGGGTCTAAGACAGGGTCTTACAACTAGGGGAAACTATACTTAATCAATCTTGCTCTTAAACAACTTGTATCAAGGCTATCTCTTGATATTGAGCTTCTCAATGCCTAGCTAACCCTTTCCCAAGGTGAAAGCTATCATCCAAGACAAGATCTCAGAAACAGGGGGTTAGCCAGTGAGAGTCAAGCCTTGGAGGGAGTAGGATCATTTCTCAAAATAATCCATCCAACACCTATGAACTCCATTTCGAGAGCAAGGTTTATTGGAGCTCTTAGTAGACCTTTTCAAGCGATTTCCCAACACTTCCATGTGGAAAATCGCCTAGACTCATACAAGCCAGGGGTAGTGGTCATGTAGCCTTAAGGTTTGTTTAAAAGAGAGAGATTTCTAGATTAAGAACATAAGCAATAGAGATTAAGCATAAGGATCCCCTAATCTATACATGAAGGTAAACACAATCAAATACAATGAAATCGACATTAAATGAAAGAGGAGATGAAACTAAAAAGCTTTTATTGAAATAAGCAAGTGCAAATACAAAGGAAAATAGCCTAGATCTAAGGTTCAAGGAGCATGAAGCTCAAGAACACAAAGATTGGCTTAAGGGGTGCAAAAAGTAAATTACAAGAATTAAAGAAAAGCTAAAACTAAAAATAGCTAAAGATTGCTGTCTTTTTCGTGGCTTAGAGCCTTTAAATACAAAGGAGATTAGATTTAGGGTCAAAGGGGAGTCAAAGGGGAAGCAACATTTTTCGGGTTTGACTTTGACTCCTCAGCTCGATCGATTTGTAGCTTGGCCGGTCGAGTAGGTGGTCGAGCTGACTTCAAGATGACTTCCTCCTTCGTCCTATGCGTGTCTGGTTGAGCTGCGTCCATGCACCAAGTCCTTCCTTGCTCCTCACGTCCCAAATGCTCCAAAGTGCTCCAAAAGACCTATTTTCAAGGACCAAACATGCACATGTATGCAAATGCAACCTAAAACTACTATGAATGTACAAGAAGGGAAAAGGGACAAGAAATGATGCTAATGGATGCTAAAACTATGCAAAAGATGCATAAAAGATGTGCTAAAACTATGTAAAATGCAAGTACATCACTCCACTCTTCACCGACTTTGTATGTCCCATGTTTGCCTCTGCAGCTTCTATCTGTGGCAAGAGGTAAGTGTCTATGTGTTAGAACGCTAAACAGATATGTGAGAAGGAAGAAGAGATCGGAGCAAGAAAATTCTGATGACGGGGACTCTGCTCTAGTCTATATATATAAAGTTTATATCATTCTATTCTGGTGTTGCCACGTCATTTCGGAGTGTGTTTAGAATTGCGACACGTCAGCGCAGACAATTTCATTTATTATATTTTTTTTTTAACTATCATAATAATTATCATTTATTAATAAGCTTAACAAGAATATGAAAAGTCATTTAAAAAAGAAGAAAGGTTATATATAAATCACAAAAACTATTATTTGATGTTAAGATGTTATAGAAAAAACATTTTTAAATATTTTGAGACGAACTAAGACGAGACCAGACAGAACGAGACGGAAAAAAACAGAATGCGAGAAGAAGGGGATTTTGCCTACTTCTTTTTATTTTAAGTGACGAGACAAGATGTAAAGGAACGGAAAGAAGCGGGATAGGACAAGACGGATTGCCTAGCCTTAATTATATTTAGGGACATAACGGGAAGAAACAAAATGAACATGAAGAGACAGGACAAGACGGAAAGGAACGGAATGGGATATGATGAGATTGGACGGGACGAAATGGACATGTTGGAAAAGACAGGATGAAAAGAAACGGAATGAGACGAGATTAAACGGGAAATGATGGGACACGAAGGGACAAGACAGGACATTCGCATACCCCTAATAATATTTAGGGACAAGACGAAGACGAAAAAAAAAACAGAAAAGAACAAAATAGGATAGGATGAGACTAGATTGTTGAATTGATTTATGAATTGGTTATTTATTTATTGAATTTATTTTAAAAAAACTTCTGTTGAATTGATATTGATTTAATTTTTTTTTTTTAAAAGCTTGGTTGCTTCAAAGATAGCGAAGATTAAAATTTAAATTGGCCCCAAATTTTTTGTAAATATTTAAAAATGTGGTGCTGGTGAGAGAGAGAGAGAGAGAGAGATATTAAAGATTAGAGATGTATGGATAGTGAGAAGAGTGTGGGGATTTTATAGCAGACAACCATGTTTAAGAATGTCCTAAGAAAATTTTAAAAGAAAAAAAATTGAAAATTAAAACAAATAATATCTTGTAATTCCATCAAATTGGGTTGTATTACCAAAAAACAAATGGGAAACAAATCTAATAAAACCAATGGAAAGAATGTTTATCTGGTAGACTTTTGTTTAGTCATACATACCGTTTGAAAAAATATATAATGCACAAGTGGCATGTATGACTAAACAAAAGCCTACCACATAAAGATTATTGCCATTGGTTTTGTTAGATTTGTTTCCATTTATTTTTTTGGTAATAGAACCCAATTTTATGGAATTACAAGATGTTATTTGTTTTAATTTTCAAATTTTTTTACTTTTAAAAATATTTGAAGACACTCATATACATGACTGTCTACTATAAAATCCCAACACTCTCCTCTCTATCCATGAATATATATATCCATACATATCTAATCTCTCTCTCTCATTATTTTGTACCCATGAATAATTCTTCTAACCATGTAAGATAATACCAATACAAAATATCAGACCTCTAGTATATATATATATATATAAAAGAAGAAGAAAAATAATAAGAGAAACAATGATCAATAAATTTAAAATCTGGAAAAATCATATATACCAATACTAAGTGAGATATTCATAAAACAGTTTTTTACAGTATATTTTTTTTATCATACCTTTTTAATTATTTTGTATTTATTACTCATTTAATCCCAAACAATTAACAATAAAACTAAAATACTGAAAAATATGAAAATGATGAGATAATCGAAGAACTGATAACATGAACATAAGACGTTATACAAATAAATGAAAAAATTGACAAGAAATCACATAAAAATAAAAATCTAAGAGATTATTATTAATAAAAACATACCTTTGATGAATCGTTAACCGGATTTAAGATCTTTTCTACCATGCCATTAAAAGCGTCTTTGACTTTTTCTCTTGCAGCAGATATGTAAAATTTAGAGAAAGAATTAGACTTTGTAACTCTTATTAAAAAAAAAAGATAACCTAGATGTACAACTAATTGAAAGATGTACAACTAATTAAAAGTTCCTTACACATATGTTATCTTAGGTTCATTATAGATAAAATATTGATTTAAGAAAAAAAATAGCAAAGGCATTTTAAAACATAAGAAAAAAAAAACAAAAACGGAAAGGCAATGAAGAATTAATATCATCTTCAATCTCTTCAAAGTATGTGTTCATAGCTCATGATATTTACTATAAAGAATCTGATTTTCACCTATACTCTATAAGGAATCCATTGCTTGATTTGTTTTCACCTTTGGTTTTGAAATCTAGTTTTTATTCATGTTTTTTCTAACTGAATATTTAGCTTTGGCTTATCTACGTAAAATGATTGCTAAAGGAACTAATATTTTATCTAGCGCATTGATAATCTGTTAAACAAAAAAATCTTTGACCTAATTTGAAAAGTAAGTTTGAAAAAACAAAGTTCCTAGGAATGAATAATAAGACCTCAACTGAATTAAGTTTTTTTGTTTAACACTATTAGCAAATGTTAAACCTGAAACATGTTTTCTACTTTTTCTGTTAATTGAACATTTAATTAACATTTCACTTGTGCATAGGGACGAGAGTCAGCTACTATCAAAATCCATCCATTTATATTAAAAACAAGAAAAATAAGAGAAACAATGAGAAATAAGATTTTAAATCTGGAATGATTATATTTACCAATATTACGTGAGATATCTATAGAACACAGGCCTGGGCACGGGTCCGATATCCGGCTTTTCAGGATATCTCCGTGATTTTATTATCCGGATTCGGATCCGGACACCCCAGATATCCGGGTTTAGGGTCCGTGAAAAAATCGTATATCCAGATCTGATCCGAATCAAATTTTCTATTTATAAATATTATATTTTTTTATAAAATAAAGAGACAAAATGTAACATCCATAAACCAAAAATAAAAATTGAGAATTTTGTCGGTTCAATTTAAGTGAATTGGTTTGGGTCGGTTTAGTGGAGAAAGCCCTAAAATCAAGTTTAAAGAGTGCAGCCGTCTTCTCTTTGGAGAATTTTCGAGTTCAGAGGCTGTAGAGGAGAAAAGTTTAGTTTTTGGAGAGATTTTCGAGTTTTACTGTTTATCGGGTACTGTTCATCGATATTGTTCATCGGGTACTGTTCATCGGTACTGTTCATCCGCGATTTGGCACTGTTCATCATCTTTCCTTTTTCCTTCAGTTTCAATCCATTGTAAAGGTGAGTGCATGACTGTGGGTCCGCGATTTGCTAGATTAGATTTGGTTTGTGATTGTTCTTGATGAGTTTATGTGTTTAATTGTTACTAGATCTTGACCCGTGCTGCTACAGCACGGGTTATTGTATCTTAGGAAAAAACATTCAAATATGTGATAAACAGACTATTATTAGTTTAATTTAGGGAGACACACTAAAAACCTGATTTTATCATATATTATCGAAATCATTATCCTGTTTATTTAGCCCACAATTGGTTGGTTCCGGACATTGCAATTACGGCACGAATTCATTGTCTTTATTTGGTAACATTAACGAATAGATAAGCGGAACAAAATACAATCTTTAAAGGGAAATTAATTTCTCTTCAGATGTATCTTTACTTTTCGAATGATGATGTGAAATCGAGTTTATTTGATCCGGTAGAATAAGTTTGCGATGGAAAATTCGGTGAAGGTGAAGAATTATCGGAGTTTGAAGTTTGGAGAAATCGGCGATGCGTATTAATGAAAGAAGATTAAGATTTTTTTATGTAAGCGATTTAACATTTCCATTATTTCAAATCATTTAAATTAGTATTTGTTAATGAGGAAAAAGGTAAATGCTTTTCATAATTCCGTTAAATGGGCCATTTTCTTCATTTACAAAATCACTACATTTTACTTGATTCTCATATCTCTTTGTTTTGATTTTCCCGTAACTTGAAATCCAATGTCTATAAAAAAATTTCTACAAAATTGAGTAATCTATCGTTATTTCTTTTTGTCTCTTAAAAAAAAAAAATCTAAAATATTATTGGGTCTGACCCGTGATGTTGAATTCTGTTGTTTAAAAACTTAGATCATGACTGCACAGGTTTTTTTTTTTTTTGAAAAAAATAAATATGATAATTTATCTGTAATGATATTGATAACTGTTGATTTTTATCAGATTAAACTTTGGCTAAAACATTATACTTTTATTCAACCTTATTGGATATGCGTCTTTAATCATTTTCAGACACTTGTTTGTTCTGTCTACATTTAATTTTGGTAAGACATAATTATTTTTTCAGACAACAACTTTGCTTTGTCGAAACTTCCCAATTCCAAGTTTCCAACCCTAATTAGAAAGAATTTTTGTGCGACATTCTCTGTCTTCGTCGATTCTTACCTAGATCTTGACATGTGCTGCTATAGCACGGGTTGTTGTATCTTATAAGGAAATATAGTATGCTAATTAGGTGAAAGTGATAATCAAATTATCATTAGTCTAATTTAGGGTTAAAATAAATTATTCAATTATACGATGAAAGATATTATGTGTTTGTGTGTTTAATTTAGGGAGACATATTAAAAACCTGATTTTATGAGATATTACTAAAATAAAAATGATCGACTTGTTTGTTTAACACACAATTGGTAGGTTCCATATATTGCAATTATGGCCCAAATTCAATGTTTTTTATTTGATTACATTAACGAATAAACAAATGAAACAATATACAAAAATCAAAGAGAAACCATATCCTTATTTTTCGAATGATGATGTGAAATTGACTTTATCTGATGCAAGTGGGATAAATTCACGAAATAAAATCCGGTGAAGATAAAGACTTATCGAAGTTTAAAGTTCGGAGACAGCAACGTCGCTTATTCATTAAAAAAAAGATAAAGAACTTTTGATGTAAGCGATTTAGCATTTTCTTTACTTCAAATCTGAGGATGCTTTCAAAATAAATGTCTCACTCGAAAAATCTAAAACATAAAAATCATGCTTATTCAACACTTATTTTATAAGGGATCAAATCAGTTATTTTTCTTTATATGAGTTATGCATATCTTTTTAGAACTTACATGTCATGATCGTATGTAAAACATTAGACATGTAAAACACACTTAGAAAAACATGACCATTCTTCATTACCTTGTTTGGAGTACAAAGTTGAATCAGGGTGGATCCTATCCGTTGGTACATAATTGTAAAAACAATACTATATGAAAAATAAATTTGAGGATACTTTGAAAAATAAATGTCTCACTTAAAAAAATATAAAATATAAAAATCATTCTTCTGCAACACTTATTTAAGGGATGAAACCACTCATTTTTTTTTTATATATGTATTGTGCATATCTTTTTGGAATAAAGAGATAGATTTGTTCATGTTAAGATCATGATCGTTATTATTTTTGTTTAGTTTTTGGATCTATAATTTTTCTTCAGGAAAAATTATTAGAGTATCACATAAAAAAATTTGTCTCAACATATAAGCAATTTTGTCTTATCAATGCAACTTTTACTTTATAAAATATTGAGTCAATCATGATATTATACTATTTTTTTGGTGAGATTGTAATTAATTTATCTATTAAATAATATTTTATTAAATAAAAATAATTTTGTTAATTTTTCACTTTTCTCTAAAAGTGCTTACATATTGGGACCGAGGGAGGGAGTATATAGGTTTCACTTTTCTTCTTTGCTGGTTCTCACCCGTCGACTCACTTTATATGAAGTTTCAAGAATTCAATTCGCTGATGAGCTGATAATCCCATTCTGTCTATGTTCACTGGATGACTCTGTATATAAACTTTGATAGGTTTTGATTACTCTTATTATTCTCCTTTTTTGTTGCTAATGACGTTTACACATAGATATTTATACATGATAATCACAGTCCCGTGTTTCAAAGCATAAATGGAGCAGTCTTTTAGACTTTACTTCATAAAGATAAAAGTTTTGGTCAATAAAAAAATAATCTTCATATTTGCTGGAATAATTATGTTACGAACAAAGTAAATAAATATAATTGAATACACTAACGTTTCAATAACATTTTAAATAAAACTATACATTTCTTAAACTAACAAATCAATATAGATGCTCTATCATCATTCCACTGTTGCTTTCAATAACTCTTGTATTATCATTCTTTGAATATCCGTCAGTTCTGTTGCTTGCATCGTAAGTTGTATCAACAAAAAGCAATATAATAAAAAGCAAAAACTTGAGGAGGCGGTCACTCTGATCATTCTGCATATTCGGAACTGCTGCTGGTTGTTAATTGACCCGAAATTCCAAAGATTTTCCAGCTCCCACATGAAGAACTCGTGTAGCACTCCAGTTTTCTTTAACAGTACAAACAGAGGTTTGGTTAAAGATTACACATGCATGCTACTTAAACCAAAATCAGAATCAAAAAGAAACTAAAATTACAATCAAAACCTAAATGGATGTTTGGTTTAACAAACAACATGATTTGTATAGTGAAGATAATGAGCAAATTTAAGAACTCTATAAAAATAATATTATATATATAGCATAAATGACGAAAAGAAGAATAACATATATCGATTGTCTACTTCAATCTTACACTCACCCAAAACTTTATTATGTTTCATAGCTTACGTTTGTTGATACAACGATTCTGCAAACTGTTCCAGCCGGTAGAATCACTCTTTATTTCCACAACAATTGAGAAACAGGAAAAAATAGAAATACTTGATATCAGAAAGAATCACACAATAATCAAAATAACCAAAGATATCATAAGCAATATGAAACTACATCATAAGGATGTATCAGTTTGAGAATCACTTACATTTTCTGTAATTTTATAACGTCATGTAAAGCAGGATTGATTATCAATTTAGATGTATTGAAAGCTTGCGTGATATGAAGCTCTCCTGCAGAAATATTCAATGATACAACAGCCGTAATCAGTTACACTGAGGTAAACTCTTGCATTTATATTAGAATGAGGCATGAAAAACATAATTATTAGATAAACTTATACTTTTTTCGATTTCGATTATTAGATAAACACAATGAGGTTCATTACGTTTGAGATGTGATGTTCTCTCTTCATATCCTGAAACAGTTTGAAAATGAACGTTATTAAAAAGATCAAGAATGTGATATGAAAAAAGTGATTCAGTGAAATTGCCTCATAGCGTTGTTTCGATCTATGATTTGCATGGTCGTCTTCTCCATATTCGTAATCGTAGGTTGATATATCTGTAAAATAAACAAAAGACAGTTTTTATTAGAATTAAAGGATTTATATTATAGAAAAGGGAACCGGAAGAAAAACCTTGTTGAGTAACCCTCTTATATAACAAAGAGAGGGAGAGGGTGAAGCTTCTCGTGAAATCTTTAAGAAAATCTTCTTGTAAGTTTAGCTGCGAAATTTTGGGCATATTTGCAGGATCTGAGGCCATTATTATTAATATGTGTTTAGGTAATATGATCGAAAATACTTTTAAAATTTAAAGAAAGTGATAATACTTTAAGGAAACGATTTCCTTTAATTGAGTTGGTTGTTATTATTTCGAATATTTTAAGATTTCGAATTTAATTGAAACACTAAGTATATTTGGGTATTTAAAGAAAAGATTTGTATCTATCAAAAAAGATTAGGTCCGTTTTTTTGGAAAGTTGCACCAAATGTTTTGAATATTGCTACATTGCTTTGGTTCACCGATTTAGTAGATGGTTTAGCTGAATTTCTCCGGTTCAATTTAAGTATACTTTTGGATCCGCGTGTTTTTTAAACGGGTTTCGGGTCGGATCCAACTCGGATTACTGAGTCAACTCAGTGGAACTCAAAATTTTCGGGCAAAAATAACCCTAGTTAAACCTGTTTCCAAACACCCTTTCTTTGTTAACTGATTGGTTTTTTGGTAAATTACTCATTTTTCCTTCGATTTTTTTTAGACTGGAATACCCTTTGTGACTCAATTTTAATATTGTGGTTGTTTCTGTGATGAATTGTGTGTTTGTGTGGTTTAATTGAATTAATTGATTTATTGGTTTATCTTGGTTTAAATTGATTTGATTCTGGTTATTTGGTTAATTGAATTTAATGGTTTTAATTTAAATTGTTTGATTTATTTTCGGATTTAATTAATTAATGGTTAATTTAATTAATTAATTGATTTAAAATAATTATTTTAATTATTTTAAAATATGGAAAATTATTATTTAATTATGAGAATTATTTAATAATTGAGAAATTGAGTTTTAATTATTAAAATTATTTAATAATTGGAAAATGGTATTTAATAATTATTGGAGTTTATAAATATTATTAAATATCTAGTAAATTGCGTAAATGGCTCGTAGGCAGAGTGATTGCCTCACTAAGTATTTATTAAATACTTACGCAACTCCATTCCAATGTGTTGCAGGTAAAAGATTTGTGTGATCGCGGAATCAAGGCTGAAGAGGGGGATGATAGGATGTTTACTGTTTTATTGTTTTGCATTATTTTGCTAGACTTGTTTAATTATTATTTGCTTCCGCTGAGCTGATTTATTTGTTATTGATATTTTATTTATTTAATTTATTTTAAAGACCTTCGCTAGAATTGATTAATATTTAATTAAAAAAAAAAATGTTGGTTGTTTCATTTTGGTATCAGAGCCTAGACGGTTTTAGGACTGTTAGAATTGCTAGGCTTAGTATCATCCCCTTCAGCTAAAGGAGATTCCGCGGTGAGTTTTGGTGTTTGTGTTTTTGTGTTATTGTCTAGTTGCTCATGTTTGGTCCATGCAGTGAGATGGACGGAGCTCCTAGAGGTCGTGGCGCGAGAGGGCGCGGTGCTAGAGGTCGTGGCGGCAGAGTTGGCCGTGGCGGCAGAGCTGGTGGTAGAGCTGGAGGCCGAGCAGGCCGAGGTCGTGGTCGTGGACTTCCGGAGGAGTCGGGAGAGAGTGCGGCACCGAGTGTGCATACTGCGTCGGTGACCCAGTCAGTTCCGTTGGCGGGTGATGCCGAGTGTTGGTTTGGGAGCGGGGGCTGCTCCGGGTGGGGGTGGCGCTCCGGCTCCGGGTCGTGATGACTTAGTGGTGGGTTGCTGACGCAGCTATTGGCTCGTTTTCCGCCGGTGGTTCCACAGGGGGCTCCAGGAGTACCGCCAGTGGCAGAGGTGCAGCATGTTGCTGCAGCGTTGCGCAGCCGGAGGCTGTGGGTGCGGGTGTGACCGTTATTTGGAGTTTATGGGCCACATGCAGAGGATTGGTACGCCTTTCTTCGAGGGCAGAGTTGGTCCAGAGGAGGCAGACGCGTGGCGTCAGAGAGTGGAGCGGAACTTTCATTCGATCCGTTGTCCGATAGAGTACTGGGTGGAGTTAGCGGTCCACTATTTGAGTGGCGATGCTCATTTGTGGTGGCAGGCCGCGGTGGGCCGGAGGGCATTTTGGACTTGGGGCGACTTCCTTGTGGAGTTCAACGCCAAGTATTTCCCGAGGCAGGCTCGTGATCGTCTTCAGATGCGGTTTATGGGCATTGAGCAGGGTTCGCGTTCTGTACGCGAGTATGATGAGGAGTTCAGCCGTCTGTTAGTGCATGCGGGCTTTGGTATGGAGGCTGAGCATCAGTTGACGAACAGATTTCTGGAGGGACTTCGCAAGGATATTCGGACTCTATGCAGGAGTAGTATGCACACTTCGAGGGCGAGTCTGGTAGAGTTGGCCGCGTCGGTTGAGGCGGATCTTGGTGGGCCAGTTGGTCCGGTGGCTGTGCCGTCAGCAGTTGCTTCTGCTACCCAGCCTCGGGGTCAGCATCAGCAGCCGCGACAGCAGCAGCAGCAGCAGCGCAGAGGTGGTTCGAGTTTCAGTTCTGGTTCTGGCAGGGGCGGTTTGCCTGCGCAGGGTCAGAAGAGGAGTAGAGAGGAGTTTTCTGGTGCTAGTCAGTTTCCTCGTGGTTCCTGTTGGGTGTGGGAGCACGGAGCATCGTGTTTCGAGTTGTCCCAGAGAGAGGCGGTCAGCACCAGGGTGTGCTACTACTGCAAGGAGCCTGGGCATATCAAGCCCATGTGTCCTAAGTTGCGGAGTATGTCGGTGGCTTCGGTTCAGCCAGTAGCGGCTCAGCCAGTGAGTCAGATCGCAGCAGTGCAGCCGTTGGGTCAGATTGCACCGGCGCCGCGGGGTTACTCTTCAGTGGAGACTGGCGGGACTAGTCAGACCGGGCAGATCACAGGTAAATCTTCGACTCAGACTTTGTAAATTCTTAGTATAGAATTGTTGTTGTGTTATTGTCTGTTAGTCATTTTTATCTGTGATAGTCTTGTGGAGGTTCTCAACGCAATTGAATGTGTAGGGACCTTGTTAGTGGGCGGTTTTGAGTCCCACGTTTTATTCGACTCTGGAGCATCGAATTGCTTCATTACACCGGAGCGTGCCGAGAAGAGTGGCATCCGGAGTAGCGCGGGCATGGTCAAGGTGGCGGGAGGTGGATTCTTGTCTACTTTGGGCCGTGCTAGAGGAGTCGAGATCGAGATTGCGGGGCAGTCAATGCCAGCAGACTTAGTCATCAGTCCGGTGGAGCTGTATGACGTTATTCTCGGGATGGACTGGTTGTCACACTACAGAGTTCATCTGGATTGCTACAGAGGTAGAGTGGTCTTCGAGCGAGATGCAGGGAGGTTGGTTTATCAGGGAGTGAGACCGACTTCCGGGAGTATTGTGATATCTGCTATTCAGGCCGAGCAGTTGTTAGAGCGGGGCTGTGAGGCGTATCTGGCGACGATTTCTATGTCTGAGTCAGGAGCTGGAGTTGTTATGGGAGATATTGAGGTTGTCCAGGATTTTGAGGATGTCTTTCAGTCACTGAAGGGATTACCACCATCTCGGTCTGATCCTTTCACGATTGAGTTAGAGCCGGGGACAGCACCGATATCGAAGACGCCTTACAGGATGGCGCCAGCTGAGTTGGCAGAGCTGAAGAAGCAGATAGAGGACCTTTTGTCTAAGGGGTTCATTCGACCGAGTGTTTCACCGTGGGGAGCACCGGTGTTGTTTGTGAAGAAGAAGGATGGAGTTTCAGACTTTGTATCGATTACAGAGGTCTTAACCGAGTCACTGTGAAGAACAGGTACCCACTCCCGAGGATTGATGAGTTGTTGGATCAGTTGAGGGGTGCTACTTGGTTCTCCAAGATTGACTTGGCATCGGGGTATCATCAGATCCCGATAGATGAGGCAGATGTCAGGAAGACTGCTTTCAGGACGCGTTATGGGCATTTTGAGTTTGTGGTTATGCCTTTCGGTTTGACTAACGCGCCGGCAGCCTTCATGAGATTGATGAACGACGTGTTCAGGGAGTATTTGGACGTGTTTGTCATCATTTTCATTGATGATATTCTGGTATACTCGAGGAGTCAGGAGGAGCATGCGACTCACTTGAGGTTGGTTCTGGAGAAGCTTCGGGAGCAGAAGCTTTTTGCTAAGTTGAGCAAGTGCAGTTTCTGGCAGCGAGAGATGGGATTTCTTGGCCACATTGTTTCTGCAGAGGGAGTTTCTGTGGATCCGGCTAAGATTGAGGCTATCAGAGATTGGCCTAGACCTAGTAGTGCCACCGAGATCAGGAGTTTTCTGGGTTTGGCAGGATACTACAGGAGGTTCGTCAAGGGGTTTGCTACCATGGCGCAGCCGATGACGAAGTTGACCGGGAAGGATGTCCCTTTTGTTTGGTCAGCTGAGTGTGAGGAGAGCTTTAGTCAGCTCAAGGAGATGTTGACTACTACACCAGTGTTGGCGTTACCCGAGCCAGGGAAGCCTTACATGGTGTATACAGATGCTTCAGGCATTGGTCTTGGTTGTGTGCTGATGCAGGAGGGCAGAGTGATAGCATATGCTTCGAGACAGTGGCAGGGCAGTGAGCGTAACCGTCCTACACATGACTTAGAGTTGGGAGCAGTGATCTTCGCGTTGAAGATTTGGAGGTCTTACTTGCTAGGTGAGACAGTACAGGTCTTCACGGATCACAAGAGTTTGCAGCATATCTTCACTCAGCCGATGATGAACGCGAGACAGACGCGCTGGGTTGAGTTCTTGGCGGACTATCAGGTGAGCATTAACTACCATCCGGGCAAGGCTAACCTAGTGGCGGACGCGTTGAGTAGACGGAGGTATGATTCCGCAGTTGAGCGAGATGTGGAGTCTCTAGTTGGCGAGATCAGTACCTTGCGTTTGTGTGCCATTTCGCAGGAGCCTTTGGGTTTAGAGGCAGTGGATCAGGCGGATCTACTTAGCAGGATCAGAGTTGCTCAGCAGAGTGATCAGAGTTTGCTAGATGCGACGAGAGTGACTGGTTCTGAGTATGAGGTCTCTGCGAATGGGACTATCTTGGTTCGTGGGCGAGTTTGTGTGCCTAAGGATGTGGAGTTGAGACATCAGATTTTGGGAGAGGCTCATGCGAGCAAGTTTTCCATTCATCCGGGAGCGACCAAGATGTACCATGACCTCAAGAGGTACTATCATTGGGTCGGGATGAAGAGGGATGTAGCAGACTGGGTTGCGAAGTGCAACACTTGTGCCTTGGTGAAGGCAGAGCATCAGGTTCCGGGTGGTCTTTTGCAGAGTTTACCCATTCCAGAGTGGAAGTGGGACAGGATTACGATGGATTTCGTGGTTGGACTACCTGTTTCGAGGACTTTCGATGCTATTGGGTGATTGTGGATCGGTTGACTAAGTCTGCAGAGAATAACATATGGGGCCGTTGAGGGGTCCTAACAGATCCATAGCAGAGAACAAGCTGAGTCCGCGTTTTATGGGGCCGTTTCCAGTAGTGGAACGAGTTGGACCATTGGCGTACAGGCTGGAGTTGCCTGAGATTATGAGAGCCTTTCATAAGGTTTTTCATGTGTCGATGCTGAGGAAGTGTCTTCACCCTACAGAGGAGTTGGTGGCTAGGATTCCAGAGGATCTTAGGCCAGATTTGACAGTGCCGGCAGTGCCTGTGAGGATTTTAGAGAGGAGGGAAAAGGTTCTGAGGAACAAGAGGATTCCCTTACTGAGGATTTTGTGGGATTGCAGTGGTTCTACAGAGGAGACTTGGGAGCCAGAGGCAAAGATGAAGTTGAAGTTCAGGAAGTGGTTCGACAAGCAGGTCGAGGAGTGAGCTTATTTCATCTTTGTAGCCTCAGTTGTTGTTTTGGCTTTGGTGTTATTGTATTTTCGTTTTGGTTGTAACGATATACATTTTTGAGATTTATGAGATGCAGTTTTCCTCATTTTGCCTTGTGTTGTTTAAGTGGTATTTTCGGATGTTACAAGTGTTTGACCAGTCGGTCGTGAGACAGTTCTAATTCTATTGTTATAGACGTCTTGGAATTTTTACTCTAAGGATTGCGATCCTGAATAACTCATTACGGTTTTGGAGACAGTGGTTCTCTGGCAGACTCATCTGAGTGTAGTGGCCTCAGTATGAGTGACTTAGCTGAGTGTAGTGGCCTCAGTATAAGTCGTGGCTGACTTATTTGGGTGTAGTGGCCCCAGTATAAGCAGCGGTTGGCAAGCCCCTGGGTGTAGTGGCCCCAGTTTGGGTAGGTGCAGACTTGTTTGGGTGTAGTGGCCCCAGTACAAGTGGTTTGAGGTGATGAGTTAAGAGTAAAGATGTCTAGAGAGCGTATGACATAAGATTAGATGTGAGTCTCGGGGATCAGGTGAGGATCTCCAGTGTTGTGGCCTTGCGAGGTCGGGTTTGCGGTCTTTGTGACGTTTTTTGTTGGGATTCGAGGTCGAATCCAGTTTAGTGGGGGAGAGTTGTAACATCCATAAACCAAAAATAAAAATTGGGAATTTTGTCGGTTCAATTTAAGTGAATTGGTTTGGGTCGGTTTAGTGGAGAAAGCCCTAAAATCAAGTTTAAAGAGTGCAGCCGTCTTCTCTTTGGAGAATTTTCGAGTTCAGAGGCTGTAGAGGAGAAAAGTTGAGTTTTTGGAGAGATTTTCGAGTTTTACTGTTCATCGGGTACTGTTCATCGTACTGTTCATCGGTACTGTTCACGGGTTACTGTTCATCCGCGATTCGGCACTGTTCATCGTCTTTCCTTTTTCCTTCAGTTTCAATCCATTGTCAAGGTGAGTGCATGACTGTGGGTCCGCGATTTGCTAGATTAGATTTGGTTTGTGATTGTTCTTGATGAGTTTATGTGTTTAATTGTTATTTCATGATATTTTGGTTGTTTCTGTGATGAATTGTGTGTTTGTGTGGTTTAATTGAATTAATTGATTTATTGGTTTATCTTGGTTTAAATTGATTTGATTCTGGTTATTTGGTGTAATTGAATTAAAATGTTTTAATTCAAATTGTTTGATTTATTTTCGGATTTAATTAATTAATGGTTAATTTAATTAATTAATTGATTTAAAATAATTATTTTAATTATTTTAAAATATGGAAAATTATTATTTAATTATGAGAATTATTTAATAATTGAGAAATGAGTTTTAATTATTAAAATTATTTAATAATTGGAAAATGGTATTTAATAATTATTGGAGTTTATAAATATTATTAAATATCTAGTAAATTGCGTAAATGGCTCGTAGGCAGAGTGATTGCCTCACTAAGTATTTATTAAATACTTACGCAACTCCATTCCAATGTGTTGCAGGTAAAAGATTTGTGTGATCGCGGAATCAAGGCTGAAGAGGGGGATGATAGGATGTTTACTGTTTTATTGTTTTGCATTATTTTGCTAGACTTGTTTAATTATTATTTGCTTCCGCTGAGCTGATTTATTTGTTATTGATATTTTATTTATTTAATTTATTTTAAAGACCTTCGCTAGAATTGATTATATTTATTAAAAAAAAATGTTGGTTGTTTCACAAAATGATTAAATTATATAAAAAATATTGTTTAGATTTATAAATTTGACCAAAACTATAGATAAAAATGATATATTTACCAACTTTATAGGTTTATATGTTACAATTATTTTAAACTTTTAAAATCATCATGAAATCTTATTATAACTTAAAATAATTAATACTAAAATATTAATCTATAATATATTATCCCAGATCCGGATATCCGTCGGATCCGTGATTTTATTATCCAGATTCGGATCCGGACACCCCGGATATCCAATTTTTCGGGGCGGATCAGATCAGATAACAGATTGGGTAACAAATCCCGGATAATATGCCCAGGCCTAGAACACATGTTTTTGTTATTTTTATCTATGATTTCGTTTATCTAATCCCAAACATCTAACAACAAGATAAATTTCGTTTATCTAATCCCAAACATCTAACAACAAAATAAAAATACAGAACATTAGAAAAATATGAGATGATCGAAGAACTGATAACATGAACATAGAACATTATTCAAATATTTGAAAATTTGACATAAACTCAAAATCCAAATCAAAATCTAATAAATTTATTCTTAATAAAAACATACCTTTTGGTAAATTCTTAACCAGATTTTAGATCTCTTCTTCCATGCCATCAAAAGTGCCTTTCAGATTTTTTTGTCTTACAGTGAAATAAAAAATGTAGAGAAAAATTTAGTGTGACTATTATATAAACTAAAAACAAAATCTATATGTAGAAGAACAAAACATACCTTTTGGTAAATCTTTCACCGGATTTGAGATATCTTCTTCCATGCCATCAAAAGTGTCAGCTATGATTTTTTGTCTTACGGCGGAAATGAAAACTGAGGAGAAAAATTTAGAGTTTCTGATTCTTATATGATACAGAAAAAAAAACCTAGATGCTATAGAAATAGAACGACGTCGCATATGATATAAGCAATGGCGAAGCTATGTTAACGGATACGGTGTCAACCGACACCGTAAGATTATAAAATTCCTTCTATAGTTTATATGTATTTATAATATTGACACCACATAAAAATTGTAATTGAACCCATAAACTTTTATTTCTTCCAACTTTATTTTATTTACTCTAAACCCATAATAAAATTTTAGACTTTAGTCCATATTTTACTATTGGACTTTCATATTACCATATTTAGAAAGACCCAAAATTATTATTAAATTACTAAAAGCTTGTTAATTAACATTAACGCGTTTAAAAAAAATATTTCTTTGTTAACCCTAAAATCAAACGTGATTGTCTCTTCATCTCACCATCCAAATTATGTTCATCTTCTTAGTCGTTTTCCACTTTAAATCAAACAATAGCAAATGAGTAAGTTTAATTTTATGATCTAGTTCTTATTTCATTTCATTATATGAGAAGAACTTTTTTTTTGTAATTATTCTTTTTATTTGAACCCGGTTAGAAAAATTTCTGGATTCGCCACTGGATATAAGTATATATCCTTAACAAAATAGTGTCATATTTTTATTAGAAATAAAATACTGATTTAAACCCCAAAAATTTTAATGGGCCTCGGAGTTTTTTTCTGTTGTTTTTAGAGCTCTTTTCTTAAGCTGAAAGAATATCGTAATTATTAATTTTGTGTTGGACCTCAAATATTTCGGTCTCGAGCCTATAACCAGCTCCTGGCACTACAAGAAAACAGTCATTTTGCAATGACATTTTACAACGAATTTATTTCATCGCAAAATTACGTCAATTTGTCGCCGACATTATGACGAAACACGACATCGTTATAAATTCGTCGTTAAATAGCAACGTTGTTGCGGCGAATTAACAATGTTTATATGTTTTGTTGGTAAATCGTTGTAAAGTAATGAACCGTTTGGTCAACCACTAGACTAAAATGCTTCCATAACATGAGCAAATTGGGCATTCTTAAAAGAAGAAACTACATGGATTTGTGAAATTTTGACTAACGGGTTTTAAGTCAATAACCTAGACATTACTACAATTACAAAAATTGGATGTCTGTGCTAAGAGATGTAGTGAAATGAACATAGGAGTTGTTCTAATTTTAACAAAGCTTGTTTTAGCTAGTCTCATAACTTCTCTTTTATTTTGTGAAATATGTTTTCGACATTAGTACACATACCTTAATTACTAGTTTCCCTTAGACTTATACTGAGTTTGTACCATATAATAGAAGATAGAACCTAAATAAAGCAATTGAAACTTAAAAGTGATGAGGAGACGCTCTTAGCAGTGCAAAACAAACGAACAAAACTGTACAAGCTGAAAGGCAACCATGAAACAAAACGAAGTACTTTGGAAACAAGAAATAGAATCGCCAAAGAGTTTTATCACATCCTCTTCACATCAATGTCAAATATAAAATTTATACGAACAATATGAAGCATAAATGTTTTTAACCAATAATAAAAAAAAAAAGTAAAACACTCTCCAGAGAATCTTGTATATCCCCATGTTGTCTCTTTATATAATTTAGGGTTTGCTTTTCACCTTTCCTTTTCACCATTAACCGAAAAAGCATGAACAAATAAGAATATAAGATGTACCATCTACAGTAAACCGAGTTGACAAACTGGTTAAGAGCAATTAATTTTGTATAAGAACTAATTATGCCGGATCTCCCGGTTACTTTTTTGGTTGGGTGTCTTAACAAAAATTTGGTTTAATGGTTTGATGACCCTCCTCATACTAAAACTAATGTTCACTTCCTATCTTAATTCAGCTGTGATAACAAACATATGTTTTTTAGTTGGGTGTATTAACAAAATCCATGCATGTAGATACATTTCTTATCTTTATTCAGCTGTGACTCCCATAATTTTGATTTATGTCATCGATCTAATATCTCTCTTTTTTGTATTGTATGGACAGATGTGTAACTTTTTCTACAGAATCCATTATTTTGTGTTTAATTGGAAATGTTTGCGTGTAAATTTATGAAGTTGTGTAATTTTTTATTTGGTTGCTAAGAAAAATATTGAATAGAGAGAGTATATTGAGAAATTGGTGGTTTACTAGTTTTGAAGCTCTCCAAAACATCTTGCTCTGTACGACACATGATTTGATCATAAAACTTTAAAACTGTGTTGAAGCAAAGAATACTGGGCAGCTGAAAAACATCTCATAATACCACATCTTAATAAAATATCAGTTCCAAGGATAAATTAACGAAGATAAAAAGAAGAAGTAAAAGAGATCACATGTAGCGCTCTAGCAAAGCTCTCAAGTTGTTTCGATTAGATATACCTAATTGAGCCTCTAGAAGCGAGTGTAGTTCTGATTTGGCTTTTTCCAGCTCAGACATAATGAAAGGGATGCTCTGTGCTATGCCATGTATGGCTTCCTCTTCTCTGCGTAGACTTTTTAGTTCGTTCTTGATGGTATCTGTGGATTCAAGAGTAGGTTTTCCCTCGATCAAATCCTCCATCCTGTACACAGAAACAAGAGTGAAAGAGTGATGATTTCTAGCTGTACAACATGTAAGGTTAGAGAGAAGACAATGAGAAAGCTTCGTTTAACAATGGACAGTTAATACATTGAGAGACAAAAGGAGATTACCTTTCCAGTCTTTTTCTTTTCTTGCCTCGAGCTCGCTCGACTTGAGCCAAACTTGGGAAATAAGTAAGAATAACTGGCCAGCAATCATCGAACCCATCCGCTCCAAATTCCAATTCTGTGACTATGTTATCCTCCCCAACAATGTATACCATGTCTTTGTTGTTTGTCTCGTCATTGAAGTCGTGCCATCTGTCATAAAACGTGACGAATTTCTTCCCCTCATCGAACAAAAAACTCGAGTAGTCAAGATGAAGGCTCAAATCAAATGCTAAGACCTTGCTCCACGACACCCCTATGTTGGTCTCACTCTCACTCTCGCCAATTTTATTTGTCACCCATATCTCAGCCTTTGTTGTACTCTGGTGTTGCAATAACACAGAAAGTTTCTCTTCTCTAACAACTGAGAGACACGCATAACTGTAATAAGACTGATATGGAAGAGGCACACGACCAAACTTGTCAGTTGAATAATCAAACGTGAGCACGGATACGCCGAGCTCCGGTTTTTCGGTATCCCAAGCAAGGCAGTAAGTGTTTCCCTGGAAAGACACCATCTGATCCTCGCATCTACAAGCCCGTCGTCTAACGCTATCACCATCAAGAATCCTCCAAGAATCAGTGTCAAAATCGTATATTTCCGAATCTAGGTCATTAATACCATTATAGAAGCTCAATACTTTGTAGCTCCTAGTATTGGATCTCTTGTCTTGATAGTATCCCAGAGCAAACTCGATGCATATCTTGCCACCGGGTTCGATCCACCTGGTTTGACCAGTAAACGGGTTCCAAACCACGAATCTAGGTTCTGGTTTCTTGGAGGTGCATAGCAACAAGCCGTCGCAATGAAACACTTGAGCTACATCTAATTGGAAGGCTGAGTTTCTAGAACGCGGATCGAGTAGGCTAAGCTCAGCTTTAACCTCTACGGATGGAGGATGTCCGTCAAGATTCACGCTCATCGGACACACCCTCATCTGCCTCATCAACATGAGACACATAAACTGCTTTACGGCTTTAACAGAGTGTTTTTTTCAAGAATCTATTGTCGTTGAATAAACGGTCCCATTGTTTGCAAGTAGATCGTACCCGCTTCACAGATGTGGCCGGAACGCGACAGAGTATCTCCTCTACCAAATCCCCTGGAAGTTCTCTGAATTTCGTCATTGATCGAGCTCGACCTCTCAAGAAAGAAAACGGGAAAAGATAGAGAACGAACGACACTAAACCGCGCGGCAAATGCTGTCTCTTTTTATAGTTTAGGGTTTTGCTTTTCATCGTTCCTTTTCACTCATTAACCGAAAGAGCATGTACAAACAACATGTACCATCTACTGGTTAAGCTCAATTAATTTTGTATAAGGACTAAGCCGGATCTCCCCGTTAATTCTAGGGCTTTGATGATCCTCCTCATACTGTACTTGAAATGGTCACTTCTTATCTTTATTCATTCAGCTGTGATAAATAACAAACATAAGTTTTTTTTTTTTTTTTTTTTTTTTTTTTTTTGGGTAAATGGAGTTATTAATAATTTCACTCTAGGGAATACCTAGACCAACAAGGTAGCTCTTCATCAAGTAGGAACTAAACATAAGTTTTTAACAGAATCCATGTCGATACATTCCGAATCTTTATTCATACTTAAAAGAAGAAACTACATGGATTTGTGAAATTTTGACTAACGGGTTTTAAGTCAATAACCTAGACATTACTACAATTACAAAAATTGGATGTCTGTGCTAAGAGATGTAGTGAAATGAACATAGGAGTTGTTCTAATTTTAACAAAGCTTGTTTTAGCTAGTCTCATAACTTCTCTTTTATTTTGTGAAATATGTTTTCGACATTAGTACACATACCTTAATTACTAGTTTCCCTTAGACTTATACTGAGTTTATACCATATAATAGAAGATAGAACCTAAATAAAGCAATTGAAACTTAAAAGTGATGAGGAGACGCTCTTAGCAGTGCAAAACAAACGAACAAAACTGTACAAGCTGAAAGGCAACCATGAAACAAAACGAAGTACTTTGGAAACAAGAAATAGAATCGCCAAAGAGTTTTATCACATCCTCTTCACATCAATGTCAAATATAAAATTTATACGAACAATATCAAGCATAAATGTTTTTAACCAATAATAAAAAAAAAAGTAAAACACTCTCCAGAGAATCTTGTATATCCCCGTTCTTCATACGTCTTTTGTAATGCTTATGAGAAAAGTGTTTCCCATTACTGTTTTTAGGAAAGCTATAATCATGAGATAGCCGTGCTAGAGGACCCTTGTCAACCAAAAAGTCCCTCAACCTTTGATCAGTGTTTTCCCAATTTGCAGGATGCAAGATATCAACAAAAGGATTCTGTTCTTTGAAATACATACCCTCTGCACTTTGATTGATATCCTCACCATCTTTCTCAGCCATATTATTCGCTTCTTGCTCTTGACTAGCACCTTACACTCTGATTTCATCTTGTTCTCCATTATCAATCTCAACAGCCTTGACTCTTTCGCTATCCTGATCACTTCTAGGAGATTTTGCTTTCCTGACAAACTTGATCATAGAACCAGATTGAGCTTTATCCTCTTCTTCTTGTCTTTTCTTTTCTTCTTGCTTTGCTTCCGAGCTCCAGACTAATGTCTTGACTTCATTATTCTGAAACTGACAACAATAGTATTAGATATATATGCGAGCACAGGCATAGCCTGATTGGAAACTGCAGTTTCAACTTTCAAACAAAGATTGAAAAGGATGTTTCATGTTTGTAGAAAAAAACTGAAATTGAAATCTAAAAGCTACATACCTATATGAAATCAACAATCAAACGAACATGAATCTCTAAGCTTTTCAAAATCCAGTGTCTCTTTCTTCTCAATGACTCAATCTCTCGTGAGTCTGCGTTTGGGACGAGTGGGACGAGGGTTTGTATTTTCAATTTCTTAATTTTTTTTGAATTAATTTTAGAGGGTTGAGTTTCTACTTTCTAGATTATTCTCCAAGCTAAACACAAAATATGGGCCCTTGAATATTTAGCAGAAACTGAGGCCCTTGAAAATTTAGCAGAAACTGAGGCCCCATTTCAAAGAATTGTTGGAATGGGCTCAGGCCCGGGCCTGATTACAGCGATTGCTAATGAGAACTAAAGGCTGAGAAAGAAGCTGCTGCTAGCAAAAAGAAGACAGGTATATTCATTTTCTTATTCTTGTTCTTGCCTTTCTGCCTATGTTTCTTGCTTTGTAGAACTGTTAGTGTGAAATCATTTTTGCATTCATCAAATTGGTTTTTGATTGATTGATTCTTCAGGTGGGAGGAAGAAACAACTTCAACTAGATAAGGCTGATGACGATCTAGTGGCTGGTCCTTATGACGCCATGGACGATTTCAACTTCATGTAAATTAAGAGAGCTTGTCTATTATTACTTAAAAGAAGCAAAAATTTCTTATTTTCTGAAAATACAGTTGGAACAAGGAAAGATTTTGTTTTCTGAGTTTTTGTTTTTTTTCCTGGCCTGGAGATTTTCTGGAGAGTGCTTTACTTTTTTTTATTGGCCAAAAACATTTATGCTTGAAATTGTTCATATAAATTTTATATTTGAAATTGATGTGAAGAGTGAAAAAACCAAGCATTTTTTTATAAATAAAAAACTAAAGAATTCTAGCCGAAGTCTTTAAATTAAATTAAACAAATAATCAAATCATTCAACAATAATTCAGTGGAAGCAAATAACAGAATTAAATAAATAATTTTAACAACTTAAACAATGCAAAACAATAAAACATCCTATCATCCTTTTCTCCGGCCTTAATTCCGCGATCATATAAACCTTTTACCTGCAACACATTGCGAAAGATTTTAATAAATACTTAGTGAGGCGAGGCGATCACTCTACCTACATGCTAATTACGCAAATACTATGCAATTAAATAATATTAAATAATTCTCTTAATTATTAAAATATTATTTCTCAATTATTAAATAATTCTCATAATTAAATAATAATTTCCTACACTTAAAATAATTTTCATAAATATATTAGACCAATTAATTAATTAAAATACCTATTAATTAATTAAATCCAGAATTAAACCATTAAATTCAATTAAACCAATTAAATTCAATTAAACCAAATTCTGGTGCTTCAAAGAGACCTTTGGCTACTTACTACCTCCCTCAAAGCTTAGTAGTAACCCTCAACGGCTCCTCAAAGTCTACTCAAACACACCCGGAAAACCTACTTTCGTCAAAAGCAAACCACACAAGCACAACAGTTTCACGTCCGGCAAAGAACCCAAGCAAATACCACAACACAAACGACTTTCGCTCAGCCAACCATCTCCTCAGAAGCTACCGTCAGCCCCACTCAAAAAGACATGGCGGGTAGATTCTCTTACGCAGAGAAAGGAAAAGCTATTGCCACGTCACAAGAGAACCTTGGGAGGAAAAGAATCCGAGCACCGGAAATGGATACAGCAGATCTCATACAAGAAAACTCTCTTACGCTCATCGGAAGAATCACCAATCCTAGAGAACAGAGAATCCGCTCCCTCATCCCGTATTTCACCAACCGTTGGGAGGTGAAAGGAGGTTTAGAAGGCTCAGATCTGGGAAACAATTGCTTCCATTTCAGGTTTACCCTGGAGGAAGATCTGAAAAGAATCCTAGCGAACAGACCCTACCAGTTTGCTATATGGATGGTGATAGTACAGAGGTGGAAGCCCATCATCTCACTGGCCTTCCCTTCGCAGATCCCTTTCTAGATCCAACTCAAGGGACTCCCACTCCATTACTGGAAAGAAGAACTCATCTGCAAGATTGGGAGGGAGATAGGAGAGCTCCTCGAGTTTGAGCTCTCGAAGGCAGTTGCAAAAGTCAAGATCTCGGTCAATACCTTGAGCCCGATAGTAAAAGAAACGGAGATTGAGTTCACTACGGGAGAGGTGGCCCTTATTACTCTGGAGTACGAACGCCTGGGACTCCACTGCTCCATCTGTAACAGCCTAGCCCATGAGTACCTGGATTGCCAAGACAGACATAGAGAATCAAACCAAACCCCATCGCGGCACGAGGAAAGCAAATCTAACACGGGGAATAAACTACAATAACAAGTTCCCAAATACCCACGTGAAGAACAGCAAAGAAGGGAGCAAAGAGAAACAGAGCAAAATAATACGGAAATAAGAGATAGACATGGAAATCTGGTGAGAGAGAGGCCCATCTACACAAACAGAGGAAGAGAACCACAACATGGATATGACAGGTACCGCACAACGGCAACAAACATGAGACAAGCCCCAGAACACCACCGAGGAACCAGAGAGTTACCGCGGAAAGAGAGAGAGACGTCCACCACCACCAGGCGGCACGAGACTCAAGTGAGACTCATACTTATACATTCAGACCGGCGAGGAACAATTACCAACTGGAGAACGCCGACACAGCAGAAGCTACCATCCTCCACAACAGTGGCGTGAAAAGAACAGAAGCCACACACCGGAGCGCCAAACATTCTCAATCAAAGTATTATGGGAATGTAAGCGCCTTTTGTGTAAAAAAAAAAAAGAATTCAATCAAAGTATTATATAATTACAAATTTGTAAATCTTGGTTTCTTGAAAACCTTCAAATTCTTGAGACGTGAGACGCTGGTAGTAACACCAACGATGGTCAAGTATTTACATTCTGTTGTAATGATTTCTTGTTACAACGGATCTGTTATATCAGCGTTTGTTTCCGGTTTACATCAGTATTAAGAACCGGTTTACGCTAATTACAAACCATAGTCTAATAAAGATACTTTAAATTCTAACAAATTTTACAAAGAAAGGAAAGACCTTTATCGTTCATTGAAGAGAATCGAAGTTCCAGATGCTTCAGCTGTCGCATGTGTCTCCCAATTTTATGAGCATCAGCATTCCCATAAATGTCGATAGCGGTTTTCTCCCCATAGGTATGAGGCACGAACCTCCTCATGTGCTCTAACCTCTCGACCTCGCAAGGATCCATCAAATTCCGTTTTAGAATCTCAAGGTTCTTGCAATTCATACCCACCATTTCGATACACTCACTAGATATTTTGTAACAGCAGCTTATATCAAGTTCCTTTAAGGTTAGGGAAGTGTAAGGCTAGCTATCTCCCACATCGACTTAACCGTAACTTTTGGGCTATACATAACACAAATTACCTCAAGATTAGGACACCTACAAAATAAACCAAATCTAATCAATTCAATCCTCCATGGGATTAAGTGTAAAACATGGCATCTCGAAAATATGACGTACCTCTCAGCCTCTCAGAGTTCCTTTCCTCCGATCGACAACAGAACGGAGGAGAGAGTCAATATTATCCTCGAATTCTGGTCCCCACAACCAGCTGCTCGAACTAGGGAGAGACGGAAATTTATCTTCCATATCGAAGACCAAGTTGAACGACGAGTCATGGCACACGTTCATCCACGTCTTGCAGAACAGCAATGGTCCGGTGGATCTTTGCTCCCTGCTCAC